CAGTATTTGATGTAAAAAAAAAAAAAAAAAAAAAAAAAAAAAAAAGCAGAAAAACTTAGTTTAGAACCTGGCTTAGTCATTAGCCAGGATTCCAAACTGGAGCAGGTAAGCTGTGCTGTCACGTGTGTTGGTTACTGCTTGTCAGCTGCTAAAAACAATGAATGTGAACAAGGACAAGTGAAAGAATGACAAATTTATAAAAAAGCCAGTTGGTATGGTGAAACAGACATACAGGCAGCTTTCCTTCTGACCTTCAGCAGAGGAAGTTTTCAGTGTAGATAAGGCTGTGGTTTGTTCCTCTTACATGCCTCAAATAGATACTGGATTCACATTTCAAAGATTTTGGGCTTTATGCTTTCTTAATTCTTATTTTTCCCTGCCACCAATTTCCTAATAGCACAAATAATCTGGCAGATCTCTTTTATAGTTATCCTGCAGAGGCATAATTCTCATAGGTTTCTAATGGCTATGAAAGACAATTTCCCACTCAAGTTTTCAGAGGCAACACCATTTTTTCTTCTGTGTTCACGTTTTCCAACAGAATCACCCAAGAAATCAAATGTTTTGAAAGCTACAAGCCTGACATTAAACATCCAGAGTTCAAGAGAACACATATAAGTGCATTGAATAAGAGGACAAAAGATTGTGATGAAAAAGCAAATAGTTTCACCTAAGAATTGGCAGCAATTCAGTGGACAAAAATAAGAGGATATAATATATCACAGAAACATTTTGTATGGGTAAAACATATTGTTTAATTGCAAGGTATTACTATCATTAAATAGGAAGTAGCAATTATATTAAACTATATTCATAAAATATATATTCCTGTTATTATCTTGTAAAATAAGATTTAATGAATGAACAATGTATGAAAGTTGGAGTGTACTAAAGTATAATAAATATTTCTTTGTAGACTAGATTTATCTTCAAAAACAATGATTGTAAACTTTATTAAGGAAATTGGAATTTTAAATTTTTAAAAAATTGATCTTATACATTGTTGATATACGTTTTCTTTCACTATATCATCTATTTCTCAAAGCAATATTAAACATATTGTTGGGATAAATATTAACTATGAAGGAAAGCAAATATCAGATAAGACAAGAATAAAATGTGGTTACATTTACCTCATCTGTTTTCTTTAGATTGTTAGAAGCTCCACTCTTCATCTTTATTCTGGATGAATAGTGCTTTATTATACACCTACTAAGCCAGTACTACCCAGCACTTAGCGAATTACATTTTCTAAAAGTTGTTGCATTGATAGCCTATTAGAAGACCATCCCCCTTTTAGCCACAATAAAAAGTTAACATATTGTCTTATCAATGCCCGTGAATGCTATTTTAACTCATATGTATTCTCGTGAACCTTCAATATGTCTTCCACAATTACACATACCACCTTTAACTCCTTGCACTTGATTTTAAAAACATTAAATTTAATCAGGCAAACCTGATTATATTCCAAACTTATTTTGTCTTTTCAATCAGATAAATAACAATTTATGCATTGCATGTATCATACCATAGGAGAAGAATACATGTATAATGGAAAAAACAACTTCTATAAATTACTTATCCTGTATTAAAACTAACTAAATAAATAAAAATAGTATATAGGAAAATATCTTAACTGTTCTAAAATGGCTGTATTAATTAAACAGATCCTTCAGCCATCAGCTGCAGGATTATGAACATTTGTTCATAATCTAGAGATAACAATGGAAAAGCAATCCAAAAATAGAGAACAAATAGACATTATCAGGAAGGAAGAAGTATTGTATAAGAAACATAGAGAAACCTCCTGAGTCATGCTTCAAACAAAACAAAACAAAAAATAACTCCTTGACTAAAGCCAAGCAGAAACAGACCATGTCACTGATGTTTATGTAGATTATGGTATAAAAATGCAAAATCTGTCCTAAACACTTTAAAAATAATAAAAAATAAAATAACACCATAATTTAGATAAAATTAGGTTTGTTACACTTCTTATTTCATTGATGGTTCAAAACAGTGGGAATACAGGTGAGAGCATCTTATATGGTTAATTATTTGTGGTTTTGTGCTCAAATAGTTCTTGATTCCTGTAGACCAGTACAGTACACCTAATGACATCCCTGAAAAACAGGAGAAGGGTAAGTTGCACCAGCCCATGAAAGAATACCTACAGAGGCTCATGTCTGAGATCCATTTCTTCTCTGATTTCTCCTTACTCTGAGCAATTAATAAATGTCTACTATAATAAGCCAACATATATTCTGTGGGAGGGATGTGGGGAACCAGCACCTTTTTGACTTTTTTTTTTCTTTCTTTCTTCCTCCCTCCTACCACCTCTTGAAAGAGGTAAACAACAAGCACAGTACTTTGTCCTTTACTCATGGTTGCCACAGGTAAAATATGGGAAGGCTGAACAACAAAATAATTTGGACCTGCCCAGTGATTTCTATTGTAAAAATACTTGCTGATTCTTGTAACCCTGCTGAAAATGACACACATTATGAAGCTTCAGATCAGACATTTCTTTGATGTATTTCAGGAGTGCAATAAAGTTGAAATATATTAAGAAAAAAAAAAAAAAAAACATTCTTTAGTCTTGTAACAATGGAAAATAAGTGCACATGTTTAAATTTTCAAGGGAACAGGCTGGAGTTCTGGCAAATGTTTTTTAATATTGCAAACGGAAAACAATGACTATACTGAGATACAGAAACTCCCTCATACAATGCAAGCACTATATTTCCTTTTCATGATTTCCTTTAGGCAATTTGTGTCCTAAACCTGCAAAGGCATGCACAAGTTTAACGTAATCTACATACACGTTTCTATTTGGAATTTGCAAAATAAATTAAAAATCCTCATCTATCATAGGTAGGATATTTATATTATATTCACTGTTCCCTTTCACATTATTTTACTTACTTTTGTATAGTCTCAACCATAAAAACAAATATAAGAATTGGTGGAACACACTGAAGGAGGAAATAGGACTGTTGTAGCACGCTATTAAAAACACCTACCCCTCAACCACAAAGCAAAAAAAATTTGAGAAAAAGCTAAAAATGATCTGTTTTCTTTCCTATCTCAGTATTATGTCAACAAAGAAAACCCCCACACACCAAAAGTGCTGCAGTATGGGGTAAGAGTAATGTTGTAGCTCGCTTTCTGAATTTTCTGGCATTATGGGCTTAAGAAAGGTACTTTATCTTAGCTTTACTTGTCTGCCAACTTAATGTTTCATGTAGCTTTTTATCTAATTTAGAGAAGAGAAAAAGACCGGGGTCAAAAAATAAAACAAAACACCTTCTCTGTTATAACAATACCTGTTTTTAGTTGTTGATGTTGTTTGTTTGTTTGTTTGTTTTCTTTTTAGAGGCATTAATTAACACTTTATGTTTTTATTTCTCATGTTTTTATGTTTTATGTCCATTATTTTCCACTTGAGTTCTGTTTTTTTTGTTGTTGTAGTTTGTTTGTTTGTTTTGTTTTGTTTTAAAGAACAAAGTTTTACATGGTTCTCATTTAATGTCATCATATAGACCCCTGCTAAATTTTTTCTAAAATGCATTTTAACTTGTCTTCTTAGCAATAATTAAATTGGATGGTGACATGTATGAGGCCAGGAGAATTAATGAGGAAAGTAACATGTAAGTGTTAGGTAACAAGATTTCAACAAAACTTACAGACACTTCACTGTTGGTTTATCATTTTTAAAGTTTTATTATTTTTCTAAATGTAATACTGGTTTGGAGCATTAGCTGGATATATTTTTAGATCATAATTTCCTTTTAAAGCAAGTTATCTTTATGTGTTTATTTTTGCATTTATTTATTAAAAAAAAAAAAAAAAGAACAAAAATCTATTTTTGAAGGGGATTCTTGACACTTTTCTGAGTGCTAATATTTCACTGCACTTTGGCAGAGCACCAAAGACTTCAATAAAACCACATAGAGTTTGGAGGCAGACAAACATACAGTGATTAGAAGGATCAGAGATGATGTCTCACTATCACTGAAGTCCCAGAGCCATTTTCAAAACAGACTGTGGTTGTGCTGGCATTACCACATCACATCACAAATCTTATCCTTAACAAACTCTGTACACTATGTCCATTATGGGACCCACATTCATTTTCTTCCCATGTCTGGCTGGTCCAAATACAAAATACACAATCTCATGGGAGTTCATTCTAAACCAAGTCAGAACCACCACCTCCCAGCTCTGGAGGAACTGAAGCCGGCAGCTGTGTCCCACAAGCCTTCCACATGTGAACATCCTTTTCCTCACGGATAGCTCCACAAGAATAAGACATACTTCTTTCATGTCAAGACATACTTCATTCATGTCATTACTCAAGATCATGTCATTTACCTCATAAGGACTCAATTCAAGCTTCAGTGCTTTCCTAGAAGTTGCTAGCAAGTTGCATTAATTAAAAATTACTGCCAATCAATTATTTTATACAGATGGCCCTAATGGTGTTTTTTGTTTGTTTGTTTGTTTTTCTTTTGTCTTCTCTGCATATGTTGTCCAGTTTATTGACCACTAGAAAGTAATGGCTAGTAGATTAGGAGGATCCATAAAACAATGCAGACTGAAAAAGAGGTTCAGCTCACTTAACCATTGTTAACCTTCCGTGAGTTGGATACTAAAATTTCAACTATTCACTTTTGCTTTAATTAAATATAAATAAATCAATTAATTAAAATAAATTAAAAGAAAATTAAAAGAATTAAAAGAAAAATAAACACTAAACTTAGACTGGCACACAGTGTTTTCTGGAGGTTGCAGCTTCTCACTGTTGACTATAGAGGAACCAGAGGTTACTAGTACAAATCTAGATGTATCCCTTTTAGATGTCTGTGTGAAGACGTGATTCCCACCCAACTGACAAGGGAAGAAATACCACATAACATTGGCCTAAATGTTGCAAATTAATCATCTGATGCGTAAGGTCTATGTTTTGGGTTTTGTTCTGTTTTGTTTTGGCTTGGTTTTTTTTTTTTTGGTTTTGCTTTGTTTGGCCAGAATTGTGAGAGAGGTGTAACTTAGAAAAAAAATACTTTAAGCTGAAAAAAAATGGAAGGATGGAGTACATGACAGGAAAAGAGGTAAAGGAAGAGGAAGAGGGGAAAAAAAAAAAAAAAGAAGAGGAAGTTATGTAAGGGATCAAAGGGGATGGAAGAGTGTGGTTCATGGAACAGGGCCTAGGAATGTCCTACAAAAAGATCTCTAGAAAATCCCAAATTACTACCTGCATCTTTTTCTGAAACTGCCCTATGCGATTGAGCCCTTGATTGGTTCACCTTTGCATTTTGCCCCACATTCAGCAGACAAGTATAAACACATAGATCACCTCCATTATAAAACAAAAGTTTCCCCTCTACTATTCTGTGTCCAGAGCAGACGATGGAGAGAGGTGACTCTAGTTGAGCTTGATTTAAATCTCCCATGCCCCAGTTCCATTATAAGTGTTTCTGCAGCTACCTGTAGAGCATGCATTCCTGTAGAGGCTGATTCATAAGAGTAAGTAAATAACACCAGATTCAATGTATAGAGCTAAAACATGCACAAATGTGCTACAACAGGAAAGACCATTAGATATGCTGTCAAGGACATGTCATACATTTACTACTAAATGTAGTCCCACAGATCAGCCACGGGTACCCCAGTGAAATGCTCTCAGTTGGCTTGCAATTCAAATGCCCTTGCAAGGATTTGAGGCTTTGAATGTGAAAAGCACTGAGCTGACCACATAGTGAAAGGGACTTGGTTGTGTTTAACATCAAGCTGAAATAAACACAAAAGATAAATAAGACTTTTATGGGATTAATTTTTAAATCCCTTTCAGTCAAAGGTATTTTTAGTAACCTAGGTGCGTCAGTTTTAGCAATTAGTAAGCATGTGCAACTTTTACTGAATACAGTCAGAAATGAAGATAATAAATCTGTCAATGTTTGGACTGCTACCATGTACAAAACATTTTTGTATCTTTTAATCCACTTCTGTCCTAAATCAAGCTGCCTTTTCTGCTGCATAACATGTCACGGCCTGAAAATAACCTACAGCGGTCCTATTACTATATGTGTCTGTAACATGATGTATTTAAACTCTGGTGGTTCAATACAAGGCTTCCATGTTATCTAATTGACAAAAGGGAAGTTAGAGGAAAATGCTATTGATTTTTGTTCTACTAATAGATAACAGAAATATAGCTGATGTCACATTAACTCATTCAATTTTCCTCTGTTTCATGAGCTAATAAGGAACACTAAATTATTTGCAAACTTTGTTCCTTCTCACCTTTGCCTTCATAGCTGTAGTACTACCTGATAACAGAGACAATACCCCAGTCAACACTTTCCTTTTGTTATTAACCATCATCTAATTCACTAAGCGTACTGGTTTTAAACACTAATATAAGCATCTTATGTAATGATTTTACTATAATTTGCACTAGTATGTAGCATGATTAATATTAAGGGTTTAATACTATATATCTCATCCACACTTTTGCACAGATATCTAAATTTAGATCTTGACACATAATCTTTAAATCTGCAATTCATAGTCTAGAAACAATTATTTCTGAATAAGGCTCATAAGGCTTGTGTCCAAAGTTTTAAACTATGTATGTAAGATAGGTCATTATTATTATTTTTTTTAATGCAATTTTAAGCAGGTGGTATGTTTTTGTTAGCATCTTAAAAACAGACAAGATGATTTAGAGCTGTATCTGGTCAACAAAGAAAACAAATAATTTATTCAAATATGTTCCGGTCACTGTTTATCACTTGAATGATTAATTCTTGATTAAGGTAGTGGGAATAAGGTGGTGCATTTTTTCTGATACTCTTCCTTGAAGGAAATTCAGAATGGGAGCTATTAGCTCTAATGACTCTTAAATGTTTCAAAACCATCTTGAACAATCGCCAAGGGGCAGAAATGCTAATGTTTGCTGAAGGAACCCAAGGCTTAACTGAATTATCTATTTTCTTATCCAAAGGACTTTGAAGAAGCATTACTAAGAGACAATTTTTTGTTCTACTCAAGACAATTACCCAGCACTGATGAGAGAGAGGAGGGGCTATATTTACTCTTTCTAAAACTAATTTCTGTGAGTCAGGAGTGTGAGTCAGACTGGTCAGTGATGTTGATGTTAACCTCAGAGAGACAGAGCTTGGTTACCCGTGTTGCTTCTTATCTTTGGGGGGAGAGGGAAGGGAAAAATAAACAAAATACTTATCACTTGATCACAGAGCAGCATATCACAACATTGCAATTTATGAAACAGATACTCAGTCAGCGTGAATTGGAACAGGCCCACAACATCAGTGAACTCAATGGAGCCTCACAAACTAACATCAGCTGACCATATGCTCTTAAAGATAAGACCCTGACTTATAAAGCAACACATCTTAAAGCATCCACAATAGGAAAAATCAAAGGAACTAACACTTTTTGTTTCAGTGTGGCATTGTACATACCGTGAACGCCCCAAAAGCACTTTTGCACCTTGTTAATAGCAACGGATATTCCCACATTTTGCATCATGGGATGACAGGAGAGCTGCCTGACATATCTGTATCCATATCAAGGACAGGCGTGGAGGTAGGTGATGGCTAATAGCTCCAGGGAAATGGGTTACAGCAGTGTGATTTTTAACCAATCTTCCTAGTCAATTGGACCAAAATGCTTCCAGGATATACCTTACTCAGGACTTTTGCCATTCTTTAGGAATTCAAGCACGAAGTGAGAAGTGTTTTGCCACTGGGGAGAAAGCAAGGAGGAACACTCCAAATTGGGAAAGCGCCATAGAGGAAATGTCCTGGGGGTAGAGGTGGCTGGGTGATCACTGTATGTATTTTTGCGCTCTGCTAGCAGATAATTTGCAGAACACATTCATTCACCAGATACTTATCACTTTCTAAGAGGCATCCATGGTCACACTGTCTCATCATACCCATGCCTTTTTTTTTTTAATTTTTTATCATGAAAAGCGTCCCAAACTTGTTCTTTTCTGCTCTTTATAGCAGTGTTAAGCATGGTTACCCTGCTCTCCTCTCTTTTTTCTTCTCTCTAATGCTTGGTCCAAGTCCTTTAATGGGCCAGATTGTAGGATTTTATACTTTGTTATTTTGATTCTTTGCATGTAGATGTTGTGCCTTTGTTCTCAAGATGTCTTTCTTCACTCTCTGGTCTGTGGCCATAATGCTGCTGTGTTGTGGCAGCACCTGGAAAGAACATGTAAAGAAGAAACAGTTAATGTATAAAGTTCAGCTTATACTTTCTGATATACTTCAGATATCAGATACACGAAGAAGGGATTTGCGCAATAGCTCTTCCTTCTCACATTCATTTGTTTACTTGCTTTATCTTTCACCCTCCTGATCACGCACGTAAAACTAAAAGAAAAATATCTGAAGTGTTGTGAGGGAAATGGAATAGAGCACAAAGCTTCAACTATTTTGAGTTATATGTTTTTGCAGCAGGAAACCCATGATGCACAGTTCCTGAATAGTCAAGAGAAAGAACTGGGAGCTGATAAGCACACAAATGTCAGCAGATAGGCCTCTTTCCTAAGTGAGGGGCAATGGTGATATCAGGATGAATTGAGTGCTTTGCTTTTGTTTTGCAAGGTTATTGCTAGACTGTATGGGCTGATGGTAGAGCAATTTGGCAATGGTGACACCAAAAAGATTAAAGAAAGAGCAATTGTTTGCTAGCATGATCGTTGCCTCATCTTTCCTGCAAGAGGTTGCTGGGGCTGGTCCGAGGCAGGATGCTGAGAGGATGCAGCGCAGCCTCAGGGGTGGTCTGCAAGGAGTGGTGAGGCAAGACAGGGCTCAGACAGACAGACAGACGTGTGCCAGCCACCAGCTGGCACAGAGAGCAGCCAGACCTAAGTGAGTAACTTCCACTCATTCCTGCATTGACGCAGCTTGAACAGGATCAGCTTTAGCAAGGTGGTCAGGAAAGCGGTTTCAAAACCAATTTGAGTTTAGATCCATGCACAAAGTTCGTGTGTTCTCTACCTTCTTGTTCTGGGTCAAGCCCATTATGCAATTTTGCCCAAAGGCTCCTAGTTTATAATAAATAAATAAATAAATAAACGAACGAACAAACCAAAAACAGCAAGATGGTCACTCAAACCTTGGCCACCATACTCATATTTGACCAAGTATTGCAACGATCCAAATACACCAATTTATGTTGTGTTAAAACTCTAATAATAAGTAGATCAGATTCAGGCAATCCACTTAAATTCTCCATGACACATTTTCTGCCTCTGTAAAAATGTATGATATCGTTGGAGGGTTGGTCACAGAATGAGTTGAGCTATTGTCATTGATTTGTCAAGTCTGGCCTTTCCAAATTCCCTGCAAACCACGCTGAATTTTCCTGAAATGGTAATGTTTCCTCAAAAGATAAATGAAATATTTCCAGAAATATTCCTTTGTGCATCTTGGTTTTGCTTGCTAGATATGACTGGTGACCTAAATTACACGGAATGCTTTGTGTTTCTCAATTACATGCCTTAACCTTTAGAAATAAGACAAGTGCCTACTTACAAAAAGCATGAAGAATATTGTAGCTTGAGGATTAAGTTGAAAAACATTTTGAAATTCCGAGGGAGAAGATTTTGTAGAGCCAGAAGAAATTTCTTCTTACTTTCAAGCAATGTGTTTATGTTTTTATACTGTCCTCGTACAAAAGATCAAGAGGAACATTAAATAATTATTTTGTGCCATGAAAAATATGTCCACTTGGAGCATTCTACTATAACAGCGTTGCAAAAAATGAATGTTGATATATGTCCCTCTGACCATGGCTTCCTTCCTTCAAAGACAACCAAGGGGAGTTATTCCCATCTGGTAGGTGAAGAACTGAAGCATAGGCTACTTAGCTTCCCTGGAGAGAAGAGGAAGCAGGTACAGACGTACCCAAACTGCAATGCGTTAAGCACATCATCTCCTTCTTAGCTGCACCAAAGCTAATTTTGTCTGCCCGAGAGCTGGCAGATATGACAGATCTGTGCACAACAACACCTCTTGTCAAGCTGTATGGAGAATTGCAGCTCCAAGCAGCCAGGGAAGCCTCGCCGAGCGCCAGCGATCCGTGCCGAGGAGGGTGCTGAGCTGCGGGCAGAATGCACGAGAACCTGGCTCGCGTGTGCTCACGCAGCCCCATAGTCTCCTCCTGGGGAGAAGCGCAAGAACGAGTCTCAGCAGAGCAGCCTGCGGTGTTGCTCACCTCGGTATTTTGATTTTTTTCAGTCGACCTCTAGATATGCGGAGGTAAGGCGGTATTTTTAGCACCATCCCAAACGGGCAGGAGCCAATTACTGCTCACGGTGTCTCTGACTGCCTCGCCTGAGCGAGGAGGGAGATGGGGCAGGGACTCAGGTAGGGGAGGGGGGAGAAGGAGGCACGGCAGCCACGCCACTAGGGCGACCGATTTATCTGCCGGTGCCGCGGGCTGCTCAGCGCTGCCTTCGCCCTGCCGCCGGACCTCCCCCGGCTCTGCGGCACCCGGGGGGGCTGCAGCGGGAGCGCTGGGCGAGGCGGGCGTGCGGGGAGCAGCACGACCTGTGGGGAGCCGGGGGTGTTCAGGGCCGGCCGCGGGGCCTGGCAGCACCCAGCCAGAGGGTGCGGGCGCCGCGCTGAAGCAGCCGGGCTTTGGTTTCATTCCCCGTTCCCCCAGTGCTGCCCCGGCCCCCCCGGCTGCGGGCCGTTAGGGCGCCTCACGCGGTCACCCCCCCCCCCCCCCGGCCTCCTCCACAACGGCTCTCGCAGGCCGGGGCCGCCCCCAGGCCCGCCACGCGCGGCGGGCAGGCGAGGCGCGCACACGCGGCCGGGCGCGCACACGCAGAGGCGCGCGGCCGCCCGGCCCCGCCGCGCCGCGCCCCGCCCCTCGGGAGCCGCCGGTGGCAAAGTCACCGTCCCGCCGAGCCCGCCGGCCTCCATCAAACGCCGCGGCCCCGCCCCGCGACGTCATGGAAACAAGCGCGTCACCCACCGCCAGCCAATAGCGGCGCCGCGGGGGCGTGGCCTCCGCGCCTCGTCCCGCCCCCTCTCCTCCTCCTCCCCCGCCCGTGGAGGAGCCGCCGCGCCGCGGGGCCCCCCCCTCCCCTCCCCGTGCGTCACGTGACCGGCGGCGGGCACCGGCGGGCGCGGGGCGGGGCGGGGGCGGTGGCAGCGGCGGCTGAGCGCGGGAGGTGGGGAGGGAGGGAGGGAGGGGGGGAGGCGGCCGGGGGGCGGTCGCTCCGCGCCGCACCGCATCGCCCCGCCCCGCCCCGCCCCGCCCCGCCCGGCTCCCGTAACGGTCGCCGCGCGGGGCTGGGGCTCTCCGCGGCGCTGCCCGGGGCGTGCGGCAGGAGGCGGGCGGCCGGGGACAGAGAGAGCCAGGAGAGAGAGGAGAGCGGGAGGCGACCCGCGGCTCCTGCCGGTGAGCAGGCGACGGGGGCGGGGCGGGCGGTGCGCGCCCCCCCCCCTCCCCTTCCTTCCCCTTCCCCTTCCTCCGCCCCCGCCTCCCCCGGCGCCCCCTCCCCGCCGCGGCTCGGTTCCCCGCTCCGCGCTCCCCCCGCCCCCTTCCCCTCCCCCCGCGGCCGCAGGGCGGGGGCGGCCGCGGGCAGGGCGGGGAGCGCGGGGACCTTGTGCGCTCGGCGGGCGGCGGCGGCGGCACCGGCAGCAGCAGCGGCGGCGGCACCACCACCGCCGGCAGCAGCAGCAGCGGCAGCAGCAGGTTCACGGGCGCCTCGCCTCGTCCCGGCCGGCGGGGGCGGCCCCGCGGCGCCGAGGTAAGCGCGGTGGCGGCGGGGGGCGCCGCGCCTCCGCCCCGCTCCTTCCCTCCCGCCCCGCTCCGCTCCGCTCCGCTCCGCTCCGCACAGGCGCGGCGGCGGCGGCGGCAGGTGCAGGCGCTCGGCGGGGCCGCTCCGCCGCGGGGGGCTGCGGGCCGCCTCCGAGCCTCCTTCCCCGCGAGCCTCCCGTCGCAGCCGGTAACCGGAGCGCGCACCTCCAGCCGGGGCGCGCCGTGACCTTGAGGGCAGCGGATGCGGGGCTGCGGCGCGGCGGCAGCGCTGCCCCCCGGGGCCGCCCCCCGGTCGCCGTGTGCTGCGCGGCCCCGATGCAGCCGCACCGGCATCACCCTCCCCCCCTCTTACCCCCCTCACCACCACCGCCGGGCACCGCGGGCCCGGCATCCGCCGCCCGGGGCCGGGATGCGGCTGGCGGAGCCGCCGGGGCGCTGTGGATCGGGAGTCTGAGCGCGCGTCTGAACGCGCCGGCTCCGCTTCGCTTCCTGAAATGTGCCGCAGGGGGGTAGATGCGCGGCGCCGAGGGCGTTTCGGTGTCGTTTCGGCTCCCCCAGCACGGGAACCCCACCGGTAATGGTCTGTGCATGCCGGCTGCCAGCTCCGCTCCAAGGGGTGCAGCCGGCGGCGACCCCCCCGCGCCGCGGCCATGGGGACGCGTTGGCAGCGGCAGCGCCCGGTCGGGGGCGAGGGGCCGGGTGGGCATCCAGGGCACGGCCCCCAGCCCGACCCCGCTCCGGGTCCCGAGCCGGGGGGAGCCGGGAGACGTGCCGGGCATCGCCAGCAATCTGCGGTCCGCACTTACCTGCTGCGGGAGCAGTGCGGCGCAGCGCGCCCAAAAGCTGCTGTATCCCCTAAATGCTCCTGGATCCCAATGGGCTTGTGTCGGAATGGGATTTTTAGGTGGTTAAAAAGGGCTCGCCTAGGTAACTCGCCAACCTCCGGTTCGTCATATAATGTATGAGAAGGTGGTAGTGCTGGCCATAGCTGATGGGTTTTTATTTTTCCCTGTTTGTTTGAGCTTTCTGAGGATTTGTTCCAAACACCACAAATAGTGAATTCCAGCAGAAGTAAACTTGTGTATCTTTAAACTATTGACTTTGTTGGCAGGAATAGCTTCCAACGTACTAGAGCTTTAATACTTATGGCATAATGAATGGAAACTCTCTTCGTGTCAGTGGAAAAAGTGGTCACTGAATTCAGTCGGGAAAAAAAAAAAGCTTGTACACTTAAATGTAAAATTTCTGGTCTGGAAGAGCATTGTTAGGTTGTTTGGTGTATCGCAGTTCTCTCTGTTCGTTATGGTAACCCACCCAGGTTGGGTTATTTGGAGAAAACAAGGGTCCTGTGTTACACACAGGTGCTTGTAGGTTTTTTTGGTCAGTATTGCTGTCTTGGTGCTGAATTGCAACGTTACTTGTTCAGGTCGTTCAGAAGGGAATGCTGCTTGTGATGTGGGAAATTAAAACGATACAAGGCAAAAGTAATTTTTCTGTCAGCGTGGCCATGCTCTGCATACACGCAGTGACTCAGTATTGCATATTAAGCAGGCGTTGTGTTTGGGAATTTCAGGCGTAGACCAGACGAGTGTCACTTCAGCATGGGTTCAACTACAGGTCTTGGTTCCTTACAGACTCGAGTTGCATACAGATAATGGCATAAGCAAAGGATCCCTACTTGCACTGTATGAACTCAACTAATAATCTGGGACTGATTCTACCAATTAAAATGCTCTGCTGCCTAATGCTGGAATCTCATTTAGAAAGTGACTCTTTCGTGGACCGCAATACAGAACCTCTGTCAGCTGTTGGAGTTGTGACCCTTTAAATCGTGTTGTGGAAGCTTAACAGGAAGCACAGACAGGCTTGTAAATATCTTGCAGCTCATAGTCATAAAGGTCTAGTAATTACTTTTTTTTTTTTAACTGCTTGAGATTGTTCAGAGAAGAATATGATAAAATGGAAACAGTCATAAAATGAAGATAGTGAGGAGGAAAAGAAATGTGTCCACTGAAGCAATATCAAAAAAATGATGCTTTGGAAGACTTGACTTTGCCACCATTTAAGATTTTAGAGCTGGGAACTCAATATTAACTGATGAGTTCAAAATGGACTTGGCAGAGCAATCAATAACATGCTGTAGCAAGCAAGTCTCCCTTGACATAAGGGTGGACAAGATAACCTAAAGTATCTTCTAACTCAAATTTCTTCCGTTAAGGTAGACTAAATATTAATGGCACTGAGCATTCTTTACCACTGAAATGTGACCTCAGTGATGTCTTTCAGTGTTTGAACTGTTTATTTTAATATACATTCTCTTCCATTTTTAAAGGGAAAATAATGCCGGTGCAGCAAGGATGCATATTTTGCTCAAAGTCAGCTCTCAGTTAGCAAAATTTTATCTAATGCAGATTAATGAGCAGCCGTGATTAGCCCAGGGCACGCCAATGTAAATTTTATTTTTGAGAAATAAGGAAGACTACTTCAATCTATAGCAGATTATTTTGGTACAGAAACACATGCTTACTTTCCTCCAAAAGGATCAATAAAATTGCAGTCATGTTCTTAAATTTATGCTCTTAAGTATTCCTAATTTTTTCTAAAATGAATAATAAGGAAGAAACCCAAGCTTCTGTTCAGGAGATAGTGATCTCTTTTTTTTTTTTTTTTTTTTGAGTATTTTAATTAAAAATTAGATAAAATCTAGGTATTACAGTATTGTCTAAAAAGCTAAGATAAGCTCTTCTTCCTAGCTTGCTGTAGTCCAGGCAACAGTCTCAAGTAGGTTTATTTTTTGTGTTCATCCTGTTGATGTTTTCCTTGAAGGTACCATTTTTGTTTCTCATTAAGAAGTTAACAGATTGTCTGCTGTACTCCTTGTTCTTCAAAAGTAATACTGTCGCCTGTTTAAAAAAAAAAAAAGTGAACCTATGATGATTTATGTAGAGGAAGAGTATTTCTCACGTGTGCTAATGATTAGTTGCTAATCTAACTGAAAATGGCTGGTCTTCAGGTTTGGATTTCTGTACTATTAAATAACTAATTTTGTTACTAACATTGCTTTTTCCCTAACTTTGGCTTCAAATAGTGGATAAGATCGTGTTCATTGATCACATGGCACAGCAATAAAAAGTAAGGATCTGAGTTGATGAAACCCCCACCAAATGTTCATATCCACCTGTAAAGAGCAGAAATGTGCCCGGCGTCTCTGAAAGGGGGCACATGCATCCAGAAGATAGAAGCAATAGCGATAATTAGAGTAGAAGGATACTAGATAGGAGGAATTTCTGGGAGTTACCATGTACAATGAAATCAACAGGCAGAAAATTAGACGGACCCACTGTTGCACCTTTCCAGACTGAACACAAATACATGGAATTGTCCAGTTCCTATTTTACTTCTAAACTATCAAGCTTTCAAATGCAGTTTATAAAAATGAGTTTCTAGTTTTCATGACAGGTTTCGTTTCATATGAACAGTAAATTTGAGGGATCTGCCTCTTCAAGCTATTCATATTCCAGTAAACATTATGAAAGTGATTTCTGCTGCCACTTATAAATCTTATTCTAAATGACAGATGACAGCGGGAGGTGTTATTAGTTTAATTTTGGTGAATTGCAAAGTAGGCATGAGGCTTTCTCAGTTGGTATTTCGAAGGTCTGGTGGGAGAAGAAATGTAAAGAAAATGTAGGAGGTGTTTTTTAGGAAAAAAAAAAAGGCCAGAAATGGCTCTAAAAATAAATCCAAATTCTTTTTCTCCAATAATAGATAAGATATAAGCACATGTTACAAGACAAATAACATCTGCCCTGTCTTGGGGATGCATGGGGGAGAATGGATTGAGGGAAGAAGATACATCCTTCTGTTAGCGCTGTTGCCAACTGCAGTGTGCAGTTAAGGAGCATGTAGATAAATTTTGAGGATGACAGGGTTGATGAGCTTTGCTGCTGGTCACAAAGTCTGGGTCGTTTTGCCATTAAAAGAATGATTGGTGTCTTCTCAGCACAAGGGGGTAATGTTGGTTTATTGATGGCTTTTTCTTTTTTTCTTTTTTGGTTCCGCTGTGGAAAAGAAACCCAAGTAAGTTCTTGCATGACCTTTCACTTACAGTTAACTTCAGTGGTCTACGTGTCTCAGTCTTTCAATATTGCTTACAAGTTGGATGCTGCCTTCGTTCCCAGTGAGCACAGGAAACATCATGTTCTCAAAACGCACTTCTGCGGAGCCTATCGCTTGTAATCTGCTACCCTTACTTGTGCCCTTATATTCACAGAAAGATAAGGTGGCAGTAGGGAATACAACACTATTAGGTTCTGACCACTTGGTGTACAGTGTCTGGACTATGAAGAAGAGGCCTGAGATGCACCATGTTCTGAATTA